CTTCCCCTGCACCGGCAGGCGGACTCTCAACCACTGTGCCACCAGGGAAGCCCGGCATATATATTTTTATAAAATGGCATCATAAAATCACCTACTAATATTTCACCCAGTTTGCTTTATCATTGGCTTGTGTGTCTCTTGTGTGCATGCTCTCCCTCCTCCCTCCACCATACATATGTGTATGTATTTATGTATATATTTATGTATATATATTTGTGTGTGTGTATATATGTAGGTTCATATGTGGATGTATGTTAGAAGATTTTCTAAGAATGGTGATATTCTCATATAACCACAGTACAGTTATCAACTTCAGTAAACTTAACTTCAACACAATAATTTTATCTAATACCTATCATCTACCTCTCATAATTGTCAGTAGGCACAGTAATATTTTTTCCTCTCCAGAACATGACCCAGTAGTGCATTTACGTGGCATATCTATTTAGTCTCTCTTAATATAGATCATTTCAATAACCTCTCTTTAGAAGTATACAGTTCCACAGCTCCTTTTTTAACAGCTTCATTGAGTTATAACTTATATACCATAATCTACTTATTGTAAGCGTACAGTTCAGTTATTTTGAGTAAACATTCCATCACTCTAAAAGGTTACCTTGTGCCCATTTGCATCTATTTCTCCTCCCATTTGAGCTCCAGGAAACCAATGGTATGCTGTCTCTATAGACTTGCTGTTTCTGGACATTTTATGTAAATGGTATCATAAAATATATATTTGTCTTTGTATCTGGCTTCAATACATAATGTTTGAGGTTCAGCATAATGTTTTTGAGGTTCATCCATGTTGCAGCATGTACTGGTAATTCATTCGTTTTTATTGCCATATAATATTCCATTGTATTGATATACCACATTTTGTCTAGCTATTCACAGGTTGATGTGAATTGGATTGTCCACTTTTTGGTTATTGTGAATAGTGCTGCTAGGAATAGTCATGTACCAGTCTTGATGTGGACATATGTTTTCATTTCTCTTGGGTAGATAACTAAGACTAGAATTTCTGGATTGTATGGTATGTTTATGTTTAACCTTTTAAGAAACTGCATAATTATTTTCCCAAGTGGCTGTACATTTCTATTAGCATTTATGTTTTACATTTCTATTATGTTTATATTTTCTATTTTTGCATTTTCTAGTAGCAGTGTTTTAGAGTGTCAGTTTCTCTACATCCTTGCCAACACTTGGAATTGTCTCTAATTTTGATTACAGACATTCTAGTGGGTGTGTAGTGGTATTGCATTGTGGTTTAATTTGCATTTCCCTAATGACTGATAATGTTAATCTTTTCATGTGCTTATTAACCATTTGCATATCTTCTTTGGTGAAATAGCTACTCAGTTCTTTTGCCCATTTTTAAGTTGGATTGTTTGTCTTCTTTTTGTTTGTTTGTTTGTTTGTTTGTCTTCTTTTTGAGTTGTAAGAATTTTTCATATATTGAAGACACAAGTCCTATATCAGATACAGGATTTTCAATTATTTTCAACTATGAAATGAAGTTTCAGAAAAAAGACAAGTCTGTGGATTGTCTTTTCATTCTCTTAATGGTGTCTTTTCAAGAATAAATGTTTTAAATTTTGATGATGTTCAATTTAACAATTTTCTAATGGATTGTGCTTTTTGTGGTGTAACTACGAAGTTTGCTTAACTCGAGGCCACATAGATTTTCTTCTTTGGTTTCTTCTAGAAGTTTTATATTTTTAGCTTTTACACTTAAGGCTGTGATCCATTTTTAGTTAATTTTTATGTGTCATGTGAGGTGAAAGTCTAAATTCATTTTCTTGCATATGAATATTCAATTGTCCTGGCAGTATTTGTTAAAAATAGCATGCTTGACATAGAGAATGGACTTGAGGACACAGGGAGGGGGAAGGGTAAGCTGGGATGAAGTGAGAGAGTAGCATGGACATATATACACTACCAAATGTAAAATAGATAGCTAGTGGGAAGCGGCCACATAGCACAGGGAATCAGCTCAGTGCTTTGTGACCACCTGGAGGGTTGGGATAGGGAGGGAAGGAGGTAGACGCAAGAGGGAGGAGATGTGGGGATGTGTGTATATGTGTGGCTGATGCACACAATGGTGTGGGACGCTTGTGCTCCAATGAGGGTGTTAAGAAAAAAAAAAAACCAGTATGCTTTCCCTCATTCAATTGCCGTGGCTCCTTTGTCGAAAATCAGTTGACTGTAAATGATTCATTTCTGGACTCCTAATTTTGTTCCATCAATCTCTGTGTTTCTTCATATGACAACAGCACACTATCTTCATTACTGGGGTCTTATATTAAGTTTTGAGGTTGAGTGTAAATACTCTAACTTTTTCAAAATTATTTTTGCTATTCTATGTTTTTTGAATTGGCACGTAAATTTGGGGGTCAGATTGTCAATTTCTACAAAACAAAACAAGCTTACTCTCGTTTTGATAGGGTTTGCATTGAATTTATCAATCAATTTAGGGAGAATCACTGTTTTAATAATATTGAGTCTTCTAATTTATGGTTGTCTATTTAGCACTTTAATTTTTCTCAGCAATGATTTAAAATGTTCACCTTACATGTCAAATTTATTCCTCAATATTTTATTATTATCTATGTTATTGTGAATGGTATTGTTTTCTTAATTTCATTTGTGGAATGTTCATTGCTAGTATGTAGAAATACAATTGATTTTTGTATTTTGAGCTTTTATCATATTACCTTACTAAATACAATGATTACTTATTGTCTCTTTATTGAGGATTCCTTGGAATTTTGTACGTCCTGGCTCATATAATCTGTGAACAAAAAAAGAGAGGTTTACTTCTTCCTTTCCAATTTAGATGTCTTTAACTTCTCCTCTTCCTTGTTCTGCTACTCCCCTCCTTTAGCCTTTTGGCTAGAACTTCCAGTGCAGTGTAGAATGGAGTTGTTGATAACAGACATTCTTGTCTGGTTTCTGAACTTAGAGGAAAATATTCAGTCTTTTATCATTAAATATGATGTTAGCTGTAGGTTTTATATAGATGCCCTTTATTAGGTTGAGGAAGTTCCATTCAATTCCTAGTTTGTGGAGTATTTTTTAAGAATGGGTATTGGATTTTGTTAGATATTTCTGCATCTGTTGAGATGTTCATGTAGTTTTTGTCTTTATTTTGTTAGTGTGGTGTATTTCGTTAATTGATTTTCAGATATTAAATGAGCTTTGCATTCCTGGAATAAATCCTACTTTATTATAATGTATAATTCTTTTTGACTTGCTGCTGGATTTAGTTTGCTAATATTTTGTTAAGGATTTTTCACCTCTGTTCATGAAGGGTATTTATCTGTATTTTACTTTCTTTTTGATATCTTTGTCTACTCTGGTATCAGGATAATGACTACATATAATGAGTGGTGAAATTTTCTCTCCTCTGTTTTCTGTAAGAACTTGTGAAGAATTTGTATCATTTCTTCTTTAAATATTGGTTAGAATCCCCCAGTGAAGAAACTTGAACAAGGGCTTGTCTTTGTGTGAAGACTTTTAATTACTAATTCAATCTTGTTACTTATTACAGGTCTATTCAGATACTCTAGTTTTTATTGAGTTAGTTTTGGTAGTTTGTGTTTTTCTAGAATTTTTCTGTTTTGCCTTTGTTGTCCAGTTGTTGGCATAAAGTTGTTTATACTACTTTTAATCCTTCTAATTTCTGTGAGGTCAGTAATGATGTTCCCTCTTTCTTTCTTGATTTGGTAATTTCTGTCTTCTCTATTTTTTCTTGTTCATTCTAGCTAAAGATTGTTCAATTTTGTTGATCTCTTCAAAAACCAACTTTTAATTTCATTGATTTTCTCTACTCATTCTGGTTTTCTATTTGATTAATTTTTTATAAATGTATTATTTCTTTCCTCCTGCTTATTTATTAATTTGCTCTTTTTGTAATTTCTGAAGATAGAAGCTTAGACAGTTGATTTGAAACCATTCTTCTTCCTTAATGCAGGCATTTAAACCTATAAATCTCTCTCTAATCACTTCTTTAGCTACATCACGTAAAAATTTTTTTTCATCCCATAAATTTTATTATGCTGGGTTTTGTTTTCATTCTGTTCAAAGTATGTTTCAATTTCACTTCTGATTTCTTCTCTGTCCCTGAGTTACTTAGAGGTATCTTGTTTTATTTCTACATATTTGTGGATTTTCCATCTTTCTTTCATTTGTTGATTTCTAATTTCACTCCTTTGTGGTAGAAAAACATGCTTTATATAGCTTTAATGTTTTTAAGTTTATTGATATTTGTTTTTTGGCCTAGCATATGATCTCTTCTGAAAAATGGTCTGTGTGCACTTAAAAAGAATATGCATTCTGCAGTCATTGGATGTAATGTTCCATACATATCAGTTTGGTCAAGTTGGTTTATTAAGTTTTCTGTATCCCTGGAGATTTTCTGTCTAGTTGTTTCTATTATTGAGAATAGAATAGTGAAATTTCCAATTATTGTTGAATTGTATAATTCTTTTAGTTCTGTAAGTTTTTGTTTCATGTATTTTGGGGCTCTGTTTTCAGTTGTGGATACCTTTATAATTGTTTTACTTTTCTGATTTATTGCCCTTTTGTCTTTATGAAATACCTCTCTTTTGGTCTAGCAATAATCCTTGTCTTGAAATCTATTTTGTCTACTATTAATATAGTAGCCATTCCAATTCCCTTGTGATTACTGTTTGCATGGTATATCTTTTTTCATCCTTTTAACTCTTAACCTACTTGTGTTTTTGGATCCAGAATGTGTCCCTTGTAAATAGCACATTGTTTGATATTGCTTTTTTAATCTAGTGGGATAATCTCTGCCTTTTGTTTGGAGTGTTCAGTTTGTTCATATTTAATATAATTATTGATATGGTTTAAATCTGCCATTTTGCTATTTATTTTTAATATGTCTCATGTCTTTATTTCTCTAGCCCCTTTGATGGCATATTGGTTTTTTTTTTTAATTTAAGTGTACTATTTTCATATCACTTGATTTTAAATTTGTTTTGGAGTTATTTCTTTTTTTTTTTTTTTTGCGATATGTGGGCCTCTCACTGTCGTGGCCTTTCCCGTTGCCGGACGCGCAAGCTCAGCGCCCACGGCTCACGGGCCCAGCCGCTCCGCGGCATGTGGGATCCTCCCGGACCGGGGCACGAACCCATATCCCCTGCATCGGCAGGCGGACTCCCAACCACTGCACCACCAGGGAGGCCCTGGAGTTATTTCTTAATGCTGCTCTAGGAAATAAAATATGCACCTTAATTTATCACAGTCTACTTCTAACTAATACTTAATTCCAGTAAAATATTTATACATGTATTATAAAGCCCACAATATTGTGTTATATTTATTGCCTTTTATAATAGTTTTTTGTATTTTAGAGAAATTAAGAGGAAAATATACATGTTATCTTTTATATTTACCCACATATTTACCAGTTACAGTGGCCTTCATTTCCTTCTTTTCTTTTCTTTTTTTTGATCCTGCTGTGTGACATGCGGGATCTTAGTTCCCTGACCAGGGATCAATCCTGTGCCCCCCACAGTGGAAGCACGGAGTCTTAACCACTGCACTGCCAAGGATGTCCCTTGGTGGCCCTCATTTCTTCTTGTGGATTTGAGTTAGTGTCTCGTGTCATTTCTTTTCAACCTGAAGGACTTACTGAGTATTTCTTATAAGGCATGTTTGCTATCAGCATATACTCCGAGTACTTGTTAATCTGAGAATATCTTTATATCGATTTCTCTTTTTTTTTGGCTGCATCATGTGGCTTGTGGGATTGTGGGATTTTAGTTCCCTGACCAGGGATTGAACCTGGGCCCTCAGCAGTGAGAGCTTGGAGTCCTAATCACTGGACCTCCAGGGAATTCCCTCAATTTCACTTTTGAAGCATAGTTTTGTGAGAATAGAATTCTTCATAGATAGAAGTCTTTTCTCTTTTATTTCAGCACCTTAAATACATTATTCCACTGCTTTCTGGTCTGCATTGTCTCTGATGAGAAGTTAGCACTAGTCATATTGTTTTTCCCCTTGTACATGTTGAGTCATTTTTCCTTTGCTGTTTTCAAGATTTCCTTTTTGTCTTTTTTTTTCTGATAGTCAACATTTTGGTTATGATGTGTCTAGCTAGGATCTCTTTGTGTTTATTTTGGGGTTTGTTGAGCTTCTTGGATCTGTAGATTGTTTTTCATCTAATTTGGAAGTTTTTTGTTTTTTTTTTTTAATTTGGAACTTTTTAAGCCATAATTTCTTCAGATTTTTTTTTCTGCTCTTTTCTCTCTGTCTTCTCCTTCCTGAGTTACCATTACACATAGGTTTGGTTTACCTGATGGTGTCTTACAGGTTTCTGGTGTCTTTCAGTCTTTCTTTAACTCTCTGCTTCTGTTTTTAGGTAATTTCTATTGATTTATCTTCAGGTTCATTGGTTCTGTTACAAAGTCAAATATGTTGTGGTATCTCTCTAGTAACTTTGTAATTTTAGTTATTTTACTTTTTAATTTCACAATTTCCTTTTGTTTCTTATTAATAGTTTCTATTCTTTGTTGAGATTCTCCATTTAAGTTGTTATCATACTTACCTTTAATTTTTCACACATTGTTTTCTTTAGTTCTTTGAATATATTCATAGTATCAGCTTTGAAGTCTTTTTTTTTTTTCCCCTATATCAGCATCTGGGCCCACTCATCAACAGTTTCTATTGGCTACAATTTTTTTCCCTAGGTATGTGTCACTCTTTCCTGTTTCTTTGAAAACTGGATATTTTAGATATTATATTGTAGCCATACAAAAAACAGGTTGCAGGCTGGATTTGGCCCATTGAGCAGGTTTACTGTTTCCTACAATAAAAATGTAAAGCATAAAATGTGAAATAAAAAATAGATCTTGGGAAGTATGGCTGAATGGGAGACAGCTTGTGATGTGAACATATGAATGACCAGTGGGCAAAGCAAAATGGCCTAGGCAGCCCTACCTATGACTGCTTTGACTAAAAACATTCTTTATTCA